CAGGGGGGCCTGGAGGGAGTAGACGCTCCCTTTTGGAGAAATAAGGGGAGGAAGCTCTCACCAAAAGGGTTGTCGTCACAAAATAATTTCCTGCTGGCGCTGTTCTCATTCTACGGTTGAAATATATTTTCCTCCCCAAGAAAACCATAATTTCGGCGACTAAAATATGTTTTGACCAAAAACTTAAATTTATTTGGTGCAAGCGTGTTGACTCTGGTTGACCCTTGGCCTTGCAAATACCGCAGGCCATAAATAATTCGATTTTCGCTTCTTTCGACCTGACCAATACGGAAATACACACACAAAAAAAATGAGAAATTCATAAACAATTTGAACAATTAAAGTCGAATCATGAAGTTGTTGTTGGATAGCTTTTGTACTAGCCTCTTGAGAAAGTGCAAATCATCCATATGATTATTATAAATTTGTGTTTGCGCGCGTCCAGTGGGGTGAAACATACATCCGTGAAGATCAAGTGTACTACGAATGTGAACTGTTCTTAACAGGTTAGGTGGTACTGAGATAATAGTAGCTAATAGTAACGATTTTTAGTAAGTTTACTTGAGGTCACAAAGCTTAAATATTACATGAAGATACAGTTTCACGCCTTAAGGCAAAATGTGAACGTAGATAATCATCTTACTCGATCTTTCTGTCTGTCGCGAAGACGATTTTAAAAAGTGATTCAAAGATGTCTGGTTGTCAGTTATAGCTCACCTGGTGTTATCGGCAAAGCAACAGAGTAACACGCTGAGAAATGCGTGAAAAAGAAGTCTACAAGCCATAATTTTTGATGGTGTTCACTTGAGAAAGATCCCGCGCGCGCTTGCAAGAGTGCAGAGGCGTTAAGGGGGCGTTCCCATTTTCAGGACATGAAACCGGAAGATTGCAATTGACCTCTCACCAGATTAAGCTTCGCTCAAGTTTCACTTTAATCCTCTTTAGTGTTTTTTCCTTGCTGGGTTTCAACCACAATACCGGACAAACGTATTTGGAACACTTGACCTGGATCGTATCCCCTGGCCCCTAATCAATGTTGGAAAATGTCGCCTCTTTTTTTTGAACAAAAAAGGGGAAAAAATAACGGATTTTCAACATTGTAGGTCGGGGAAAGGGAAGAACTTGTTTGGCGTTTCAACATTTTTGTCCGAGATTGCAGGTTTCTTGAATTGTACAGCTCGCTTTCTCTCAAGTTTGTATGAATTTTGGTCGGCCATATCCAAAAGTGCGGGAATGAGATATAGAAACGAAAATCCGAAAGTCTGCAAATGTCAAATTGAAAGGGTGGGAAATCGAGCCTGTCTCCACGCGAACCCGAGCTCATGAAATATAAGCTTGACGAATCTTCAATTCACTCGGAAGCTAAAAATCTATCGCTGAGAAAGGTTTCAAACATAACACCGTTTGTTTCCTTTTTCAACTTGAATTTCAGCGGAAATTCACGCTAGCATGATTCAAGTCCCAAGACTAGTATTAAAAAAAGCTAGTACGTATACCCAGAAATGGGAATTAAACACATACGTTTGCTTTCATATATTTGTTTTCTTGTCGTTTTTTTCAACGGTTAAATTATAACTGAATAAATGCAATTTTGACCGACTTAACTGCTACAAGAAAATCACGCGATGTGATTCGCTTGTTTACACCCGCTCGAACAAAGGTCCAGATTTTAATTTTCGTTATACAGGCTGATACAATCCAATAGGATGCGTTTGGGAGCGCGTTCACATGCGGCTGCGAAGATTTTTCATGTCTTGTTTTAAAGGTTACCTGCAATACAGGGAGGCAGCAATGATATAATGCCTGTTTTCTTTTATCATCTTCTTAAGTGTCTCAAGTAAGCTCGTTACGTAAAGTTTTCTGAACACATGTAAGCCAGTCAGTGCTTTCTCTTACCGGAAGTGTAGCCTATTTTTGCGTTGGAGGAATTTCTGGAACTTATTCATTTGTTTCTTTCAAAAACGTGAAGACAAAGTGCAAGTTTGATTGGAAAACACGGGCAAATCTTCTTGAATGATTCCATAAAAGAAGTAAAAAAACTAACTCTTTGCTCATGTTTCTGTAGCGGGTTAGGGACTAAGGTGTGCTCAGCATCAAGCCAAGAGATCCCGAAATTTGGTTGGAAGTCAAATGAACAGGGAACTTGCTGAAAAATATCTTCGGCAATTGCGCCACCAGAAGTATCCCTCTTTTTATTGATTTTGGAAAAACTCTTACTTTATTCAGCGGCACCCAATGTATCTTTTGGCTAAATTGTCTCGTTTGAAAGCCTTTAATCCCCTTCAATTCTCTTAAAATTGTCTTCTGGAATTTTCGTGATATGAGAAATTTAATGTCTTCTTTTAGGACTGATAAAAATGTCGATTTGGGTACCAAAAATATTTGTCATAGCGCAGCCTAAAATTAACCTACAGACCGCCCCAGATAGCCAAAAACAGCGTTTTAGCACGAAGACCACGAAGAAAGAAGACACACAACAATGTAATGAGCGAAATTACAGAATTTTTGAACAGCCCCCTAGTGGGTATAGGACTGGTCAAGGAAAGTTCTGCGAGAGGAAGACCTCGCGGGAAGGAATGCACTTGGCTCGCTGATTTTTTCTCTTCCCTGTGTAAAGCCAATTGAGGAAGGCTGACTGCGCAATGGTTTATTTTCACTCATTTTCTCTTCATAACAAAATAGACAGTTTATCTGGGCCACTTCAGTGCATGTTTGAGAGAAAATAGGGTAAGCAAATATTGTTCGAACACTCTCACCCTGTAATTTTTTATTTTATTTTATTGTTTGCTCAAACAACCGCCGTGAAAAGCGGGAAATGACGTCATCAATATCCTCATGGAAAATACACCACTTAAGTCCCGGATGTAGTTTCGTATGATTTTTACAAGTGGTTTATTTCCCATTAAAACCATCGTGTCTATTAAACAATTAGATTATGAGCTCGTGATATGCGCCCTCGTCAACTATCACACATAGAAATCGAGAGCGAATAATCTAGTAATTGTTTTGGTATAAATCTACTAGTCGTTCAAAACTTTATCTCAGTCCTCTTCACAGGCACTTCGAAAACGCCAAGAAGTGGCCGAGAGGCCTCAGGTTCGTATAATCATTTTGCAAGCTTCTTTTGGAGATAATTCTTAAGTAAGAAATTTGGCATGTATTGCGACTCTTGTAAACATGCTTACATAAATAATGTAAACTAAAATAAAAAACAGCCTCTGCTCCTATCTATTGATAAAATATTATTTTTAATATTATTAAATACTTTAATTTTCCTGGGGTGGGGGGATGTTCATATAAGGAATATTGTACAGTGTATATACAGCCCTTTTTGAGGGGGGGAGGGTGGAGATTTTTTGGGGGGAAGTTTATCCTCTAAGCTCAAGAACAAAAGGCTGTTCATGGTCTATACCTGCTTGAAGATATTATTTGCAGTGAAACACATTTAGATGGTATTACGCACAAGCAGACCATTATTTGCAGGCATTTCTTTGCAGGTCACATAGTGGATTCTTGGTCAATGAAAAATGAAAGGAAAGAAAAAAATGCATCGAATGATGTGAAACAATTGTCCGCATTTATGGAGTGCCATTAGATAGCAATTATAGTGAAAATTTTACACAAAGCATGGGTCACACTAATGTCGTCAGCAACTGAACTTCTTTATAAGAAGACTTTCATCTACATGTAGATGGTCAAACCAAGAGGGCAAACTCATCCTCACAACCAGTCAATTTACCCAGTGCTTGGCCCTTAATGAAACCTTAGTCAAAGGACAACATTTATCACTCTCTCTTCTTCTCCTTTGGTGGTGTCTCTCCCAACAGCATTACCAAATTTAACACGAGCAGGATTGAACTCACTGTTGCTGGTGCAAACAGGATGGCTGGTTTTCCCAGCCAATAGAGACTCTGCATAATCACAGCCATAATAATCAGCAGAATCGCTGTGCTGGCTAATTTCAAAGGCCTCATTGGTGCTGCATACAGCAGGAGAGCACAGACAACTTCAAGATATCCAATAACAGTCCGATAAACATCTGGATTTACATTGCGACCAAACCAGACCTTCAATGGATGCACTTGAGCTAGCTCAACAAAATCACGTTTCTGTTAAGATAAAAGATAAACATGCCATCAGAGGATTCACATGTAAAATGAAATTACACACATCTTCAGGGGCGGATCTAGGGGAAGCGTGCAGGGGGTGTGCACCCCCACTCCTGAGATGAAGTCTTCTTCTTTGTATTATCTACCTCACCAGTCAGTTATGCTATTACTTAGTGGTGCACCCCTCCTAAGAAAAATCCCAGATTCGCCCATGATCTTTACCCTTAAATACCTACAAGATTATAGGAGTCAGGTCACTTATGGTGCATATTGAAAACGTTGACACTCTTTTTTTTTTTTTACATATCCTCATTCATAACCATCCCATGGGTGGTGGACTCCTGTGTGAAAAGGTGTAGGATGCTCTTCAGAAAATTTGAATTAAACCCCTAAAGGCCAGTCCTCACTAACAACGCAAGAATAAGCATAAGAAGCTTATGTGCTAGAGGGGATGGCTGGACATAAGCATAAGCATAAGAATATCAAAACCTAGCTTGCATTCTTCTTCTGTTTGTGCTTATGTCGCTATCCAGTGGGGAAATGTTGGCATAAGCATAAGCATAAGCATATTAAGGTCATTCCACTCAAATAGAACCTGCACTGAGATTTTTGTCAAACTTTGCCTATTGACTGTTTATGTTGTAGAAACTTAAATTTGGAAATAAAAATGAGGGGTCTCCATGTTCGATTAGGGGCAACAGCACCTCGTTTATACCACATAAATCCTTACAATAGCAGCATGATTATAGTCACAATTGCTTGCTAAATTCACGTTTCCGACAATTGTTTCTTGCTCAACACTGAGAATTGGCCCATATTTATTTTGCAAAGAGAAATTCATCACTCAGTTCAACACAACGGAAAAAAAATGATAGGTCAAGCATTTTTTGACCCCTAATAGGATACCACTATAATGAACATGAATGCTTTTTTTGTTATTTCCTTGAGTGCAACCCTAAAAGATACCCTGACAGCTAAAAATAATGGCATTTTATCTTGAACACCCTAAGTGAGACCAAAACCTATGATTTAAATCCCTAAGCAGGTGTAAACGAGACAACAAGCATCTTCGACTTGTTGGTGGTTACATTCAGGTGTGACCAGGTCAGAACCTCAGGTCACTATCAATCATGCCCTATTCTGTCAACAGCTGACCAAAGCACTATTGTTTTATCTTCCAACTCAAATACATTTTCCAACAGGAGGAGAGCCTGTTGCGTGCCGTGCGTCAAAACTCACCAAGCGTCTCCCTGTGACGAACAATACTCACTAACCCCCAGGGAAACAACACATGATCAGGTCATGCACCTTGAAACCGTGGCAAAAATTTGTTGTGCCAGCTGGCGTCAGGCAAGTTATTTTTTCACAGTTTTTGTTCTATTTTTGAGTTGGAAGGTTTAACCAGTGAGTTTTGTTTCTCCTCAACCTCAGCGTTCATTGGGGGAGTCAGGGAAACAAAACTCACTGTTTCCCTTGGGGCCAGTCATTAAGTGCTTATTCATAGACACATTTTCATGTCATCTTTGAGTTTAACAACCAATGACATCACAGGGTTCCTAACAAGTCAGTTTCAAGAACCCCAGAGTTAACACCATTGACTGAGGCCATGTTTACCAAGAGGTAGGGTAACTCCAGGGGTGGATCCAGGATTTTTCGTAGGACTGGGTGCACCACTAAGGAATGGCATAACATAGTTTTTTTGGGGGCAGAATACTAGTTATGTTAGAAAGCCACATGTCATCTCCGGGGGGGGG